AAATAAGTGTATTTTGGACTAGAGGGGTGCTCGTGCTTCTGGCTGCTTGCGGAATATATTTCCCGGTTCGAACTTGGACTTCTCTCTCTAGTTAGTGGGGCTGGGATGCATCAGAATAGCTAGCTTATTGGTCTTTGGTCACAGAGTCTAGGTGAACTCGTAATCGCTTTAAACATAGCAAATTTGGCGACGAGGTTGACGCAAACATGGTTCCTTCAAAAGTGGAATTATTACTCGAGCAGTAACTGAAACGTTTACGGATCTAAAGAGATGAAAAACTTACGTCTAACTTTCAACTAAGCACTTCTAATCCTACTACTACTGCACCATCAGTTGATGGTATCGCGAATAGTATCTCTGTGATACATTACGATTCTGAATCCAATGTCACGTTTGATATGTGGTTTCGACGTTATCAAGACTTATTCAAATTTGATTTCGCTAATCAGGATGATTTTTGGAAAGTCGGCTTGCCGCTTATGAAGCTGGGTCCTAGTGAACTAGATAGATATTGTAACTTAATTCTGCCTCTGAACACACGTGGCCGCCCATTCTCCGACACAGTCCAATCACTGAGCAAACAGTTCGGCGATAATTTCTCACTGTTCAACGTGCGCTATCGATGTTTGAAGCTGACTATGAACGAAGACGCTAATTTTCTCACATATGTGGGTATCGTCAACCGCGAATTCGAACGCTTCCGTTTGAAGTTGCTGACTGAAAATCAATTGAAAGCCCTTATTCTAATCTTCACTCTCCAATCGCAGAAGTTCAATGATATCAGAACACAGCTGCTTAGTCGATTGGACCAAGACCTCAAACTGACTCTCAATGATATTGCAAATGAATATCAATGTCTAATGAATCTGCAACGCGACACTACGATGTTCCAGCGTGATGGTCCTGATCTTACTGAAGTGCATGTAATCAAACAACTACCCAACCCGTCTAAATCCGCCTCAGCTACATACAGTCCAGTTCAAAAAGCGAAAAAAAATTCTGCTGCTCCATACTGATACTGCGGTGCATGGCATTATATTCGAAGCTGCCCTTATAAACAACATCGGTTCAAGAACTGTAAAGCTGTAGGCCATAAAGGGGGATTTTGTCAAAAAAAGAAGCCGAATAGCTCCAGAAGTAACAGAGAGCCTGTTCGTACATCCTGCACGAATTCGTTGGGTCTAGTAGCAACTTATCAGAGCTCAACCTTAGGCGAGAGGAAATTTATTACACTTAATATTAATGGGGATCCGTTTAGGTTGCAAATAGACACTGCATCTGACGTGACAATTCTCTCACACTGGTAAATAAACAAGTATGCGTGTCAATAAATGTCATGAAGCAACCAAAGAGTTTCGTTTCTATTCAATAAGATGAATTTTATTACCGGTAAATATATCTCACTTAAATCTTGGAATCTATTTTTCTACCAGAAAAAAAATTAGTTGAGTATCGCATCAACATGATCAAATGTACTTCAATTTAACAGCGAAGAGAGCACTTATAAGAAGCCAGAAGGGTCTTTCTACAATTTATTAAAATAATTACGTGGATGATAATAATAAGCAAGCCTTGCTGATTAATGGGAATGGAGATTATTTAAGTCAAAATGGAATATAGAATTCTTTAAATTGATTTCTAACTGCTTAAGTAATCACATAATATTTAAGCTTATTTGAGTGTAACTTCGTTTTGTTACATTCAAATTTGGCTTCTATGTAAAGTATTTTAAAATAACTTTCAAATATGAATTGCGGTTAGCAGCTAAATCCAGGACGCGCGATGGTATTTGAGGCAAACGGTACTGGGCTCGAGCCTCGGAGTAAACGTCAACTCTGAGACGCAGGTACATCCAGCTGACAAGTCTCAAATAGGATGAAACGCGCGTCCTGGATTCTACGTTAAACACTATCCATCTTTGTTTAGAATGCTTGTGACTTAAGGTAATGTCGAGGTAATCCACACAGGATGCACACAGACCAATAAGAAAATAATCAATTTCAGTCCTAAACATCAATGGGAAGATTCAAACAAATAATGCAAAATGGATTCAACTTTCATTCTGTTGATTATTTCCTAAGGACTATTTTATTTGTTGATATAAATTTTGACGATAATAAAAGCAACAAACACTATTAATGTACTACTGATAAATTACTATGAATACATTTGGAAACTTTCATTTAATCGGTTGCATAATTCCAATGATTTGTTTACTGAGTTATGCAGTTGAGTAAATACATTTTACTTTCAATCAAACAAGAAAGCATATTCTGGTCTAGCTTTACATAAGAATACAATCGACACATTATCTGTCAATGATTTGGTTACATATCTTAACAACCTCAGATTGGATAAGTTTTCTGCTAAGTTGACTTAATTTTTAAATGAATCTTTATGATTGTTTGATAAGTAAAGGTTCTGTCTTTCAACTCTTGGTTACCTCGTGATGAGGATAGTGAACAGCATTACCTATCTAATTAATAATCATTTTTTGACCTTACTTGCAAAATTGTTTTTTAAGGTCATGAAAATAAACTATTTCAATAAATTAGATAAACTGAACTGAAGTACTCTCAATTTTATAGGTATGTTTTTTATTTCACATCCCTAGACATGGCCAAGATAATATATTAATTTTTATGTTCATTAATTTTAACTAACATATGATTTTTCTTGAGGTTAGATAGACAAGGAGCATGTCTAGTATTGGTTAAAGAGATCCAGAAAACATCATGATTAAGTCTTCATTCACTTCTGATTTTGACAACGTATAACATCAATTAAATTCTAGTTCACATTAAGTTTCATTCTGAACTACGTTTAAGGCGAGACTCTAATTTATGGATGAGCCAATCAGAGGTGTTTTAGAGATTCCAAGGTTACGGCGCCAACCTCAGTGCTTAATGCTAACGTATGATCGGTTTACAGGGAATTTTGTACAAAATGTGATAATTGAGCGGCTATAACAAATAAAACGGCGAGACTATAATTTCTGGACGAATCAGGTATAAGATAATAGATCTCGGATTTTAACGCGAAAGACTTTCATCCATTTGGCTAAATAGATTTCTGGGATTATAGTTGATGACATTTCGTGATGAAAACTCCATATATAATTCCTAACTAGGGCAAATTACGACAATTATTGCGAACTGGATAATAAAAGCAACAGTAACACTGGCTGCAGCCAGGTACTACAATATATAAGGATGATTGGAGAGCCTACAGACTCATGCATAGGCTTGGTTATGTGCATCATATCGTTATCCACAAGTAGCATTTTGTGCACTTAACAACCGGAGTACGCATAAACAATATTGAAACTATGTGGTGGAGGCTGAAAGAGTTTTTGAGACTTTATCATGACTCCAGAGGCCGACTGTTCTGTAGCCGTGTGGATGATTTCCTCTACTGCCTGCTTCACGGTTTTAGAACCTCTGAATCACTTTCTAACCTTGACAAGTTTTTGAACCACGTATAAGAAGTGTATCCACTTTAATTCTCGGTTTTGTATAACATATTTTACTCTATACTGACTGTTTGCTGATTGGCTAATATTTCACAAAGTCGCTTAAGATTCGTCCAAAAGTCTTCCATAAATTAGAGTCTCGCCACGTTTGGTATGAAGTGGTGAATTTTTAACGGTGAATACATCCAGAAACTCAGCGAATCCTTATTTCCTGTTAACATTTGTCACTAACCCTTTATTTCAAACCGAATAGATCAAGTTGAAAGCAAGTAGATAATAACGCTTTGTATTTCATTGTAGCAACATTTTGTATGAGGTGGCCTGTTTCATCATTTTTTTTTTGAGGAATTTCTAAGTGAAGTATCTTAATTTAGTGAAATTAGGCAAATTTCTGCAAGTGCTCATCAACTTGAAGCTTTGAAAATATCACTATCTTTAAGATTAAAAACAATGAAGCAAATTGAAAAAAGAGTACAACTATTCGACATTGTATATCTCGTTGAATAATGAATAACTTTTTAATAAATTTACTTAATATGACAAAACGTTAACATGAAGCTCCTTTATAATAAACTATTTTTTCTTTCTAAAATTAACTAATTCTTTCTTCCTGAAGTATGTCCTTATATACAATCTTTCTTTTATATATTACCACCATTGAATTAACTACTTTTATGAATTCGGTGTTCATCTTGTTGTGTTAATGAGGTATGGCAACTTGGACCGATGCATATATGTCCCTGGTCCTACGTTGTAGCTGACTGACCGACTGACTGGCCGATGCATATATATGCCTAGTCCTACATAGTAACTGATTGATTTCTAAAATGAACTCAATAAAATCATAAAGAGAAAACAATTTTGATCCTTTGAAAATGCTCATTATGTTGTATTTTATATGATCATTTAAAATATATTTACACTTTAAAAAAAAAACGAAAATTCAAACAAATTTATTTTGTTTTACAAAGAAACAAAAACAAAACTCCTCACTGGTAGTTATTTTAAACAATAAAGCTGGAAAAATATAAAGATCAAAGATGAATAATCAGTAAGAGAATATGTATTTTAATGATTTGAAAAGAAAAGAAAAAAGAACAAAAGAAGTTATCATGTTTATCGTTCCTTGAATAAGAAAACTCAGGAACAAATATTACGTAATACGTATAAGTGTATTTCTTTTTTCTTCTTTCAATTACATACATTATTTGAAACAAGCTGCTTTTAGAGCTTCACTTCTTTTTTTTTGTTGTTTAAAATCTTTAAATGATTTATGTAATTTATTAGGGTAACAATTTTGTTAATTATTAAAATATATTTGAATTACAAATAAAAAGACAATGGGGTTTATGTATTGAACATTTTGTAAGTTAACAAATTGTATAAGGAAATAAGTTTCTTCTTCTTCTTCTTCTCCTTATTTTTGAACAAGAAAATTCTTATTCATTATGAATAGTAACCAATTTCAAATGTGAATAAACAAAACAAAAAACAACCAACCCCTATGAAACATTGAATTTTGAATAGTTCATTTTGTATGTTTAAAACTACGCTTAATATACATCACTAATTTATCTTTATTAATTGTTAATGTTGAACCTTTATTTGTTAATGAATAAAGATTATTATTATTGTTATTATTATAATTATTACGTATAGAATTTGATTTTTTCAATAAGGTTTTATTTAATTTTGATGATGTACATTCATCATCATCATCATCATCATCATCGTCATCGCCATCATCATCCTCATTATCTGTTGATGAAATATGTAGTTCTTCTGAAGTAATAAAAGATTCTAATAAATTTGATTCAGTTATATGTTCACATTTACATTGATCATTAGTTTGTTCATTATTAGTATTGTTCATTTTAGATAAAATATTCAAGGATGATTTTAACTGTAGATTCATACTGTAATTTTTGAAATAAAATTTACAATTATTTCATTAGTACGGTTATAACAAATGAATCACTGTTTACAAAAATATTAAATACTTTAAATGTGAAATACGAATATTCATCAAGATTAGAACGGATAGTTTGACAAGAATTGGGCGTCGAACAGAGAGAAGTCATTATATGTGAAAACTATATTTGAAATAATCTCAGCGATTGGAATTTAAATAATTCCAACGTTTCGTCCAGCTAATTTGTCTGAACTTCTTCAGGGTAATAATCAAAATCGAAATGATCTTATAAACTGTTTACATTGTATTTGATGAACGTATTAAGATACGTATATATTAAGAATTCAGCTGTTTTTTTGGAGAAAGTTATATTGGGCACACTACCAGGCAACTGAACCAAAGAGTTGGTGAACACCTCCCTTTGTGGTTAATGAAAGGTAAAGTCAAGACAATACTCAGCTCGGTTCTATCACACTTGATCGATAGCGGTCATGTAGTGGACAGAAACAAGTCATTTAGAGTTATTTATCGTACTCCCACTAGTTTTCCTTACGGTGTTCAATCTCGTCTCTTACACATAGCAGAAGCTATAGGAATTCGAGCCAACAACCCAAGTCTTTGTTTTCAGAAGAAATTTGTAACATCCTTATCTCTCCTTTGGCCTTAATAAATGGATTTATTTATTATTTTTTCAAACTTTCTCTTCGTTTATTATTTTTTTCACCCCCTCCTACCATTTTATTTTATTTTCTCTCAAGTATACGTTTCATGGTTCAATTATCTGAACACTTCTTATTACGTCATCTTATAGTTTTATAAATGTTATCTCACTGTATATGTTTTTCTAATCACTGACCTATTTCCGATTATTTAACACTGCTAGTATAAGGGTTGTGGAGATTATTAAGTTTTTGATTAAGATCATGAACCGATTGATGTTAGACCATCTTTGGAAACCTGGAAGCACTGGACGGTCATTTCGTCCTGTTGTGGGGCTCCTCAGCAGTGCGCATCCATGATCTCAATCATAAACTTAATAATCTCTGCAACCCCTATACTAGTAATTAACATGTGCTCACTAGTGACTAGCTTCGTGAGAGGATTCTCGGAGTTCTAGTGAGAAGATGTCACCAGTGGAGCTAATCCATGTCGGGTAGAGACAGTTATCTACCTCAGTACAATGGAAGATGGTCGCGCAATTTCGTGGATTGATTGATGTTAGACACCATCAGCATTCGCTGCCGACTCAGCGGTCGAGTAAGTTAAGCGTTCGCGCGCGAGACTGTAGGCCCTGAGTTTGAACCCGGGATCGTGGATGCGCACTGCTGAGGCGTCCCACAATAGGACGAAACGGCCGTCCACTGCTTCCAGGTTTCCAAAGGTGGTCTAACATCAACCGGTTCATGATCTCAAAAAAATATTTAACATTGATTTGAGCCTTTATTATTCTTATCAAAACTAATGTACCTGTTCTCATACTATCAATTTGTACTTTTCACTTATTATATAATCGTTTTCATCATTATCGTTGACTCACAAAACTACCTTGATTGGTTTAATAATTTCGTATATGCATATATATATATATATTAATATATATATATATATATATATATATTAGTTTGTATCGAGTAGTGATATCAGTCAGACAATCTTTAAAAAATTAGGGGATATTAGACGGTTGTTTTGTCATAGTTTGATACTCTTGAGAAGTATACACCCATGCTATCACCAGGGTTTGAATTTAGAATGATCATGTTTTATCAGGAACACATTACCTTAAAACCATAGAGTAGGAGTTAGTAATGGTTGCTCTGTTGAAGTTATTCTGTAGGATTAACTATCTAAGTAGTGAATATAAACACCTTATCCAAAGAATAAGTAATTTCGTCCATTATACTAAGATATCAGAAATTACGTTTCAGCTGAATCAACTAATATATAAAGTTGATAAAACTTTTCAAGCTCTCAATAATGAACTCGACATTTTAAATTTGTTGCTAACTACGCTTAATTATCTCTTTTAAATCTGTTTATCTGAATAATCAATTAGTGGGACGCGTGTTTCAAGAGAAGTACTGAATGTCAATTCAGGTTACAGCGAGGAAGAATCTTTATACTCAGTCACCCTCATAATTATTTATTTTTCAGGAATCAAGCATTTTCGACTTAGTATGTTTTTACTGAAGGATTCATGGCAAGGTCCTTCCAGCCTCTGTAAAAATAACTTAGATGAAACTGTTCCTCCTATTATATGATCTTATTTTTGCTACTCTACTAATTTCCACTCATTATTTACTGTGACTCACAAATGATTAGATTTTCCCAATGTAAATATTAAAGAGTGAATCTGATCAATATCTTTTAGCATTTGAGGCTATTTGGTGGATGATTCGATAGCCCCTGTAGTTAGAAGTTCAATATATATTTGCATAGTGCATAACATTATAATCTACTAGGTGAATGAGTTCATATATATATATATATATATATATATATATATATAAATATATATATATATACTCAAATTTTTCAGTAACATCGTTTACACGTATTTGGAATTCATCCACATATCACACAGACTGACTCCTAAAGTTACAATAGTGTTAATTCAATGGTTAACTGAAATTTACCACCTACATGTAAAAAGTTAATGAACTAGCCTGATAGACTGATGCTTACTTTGTCTCACCTCGAGTCAGTTGGTAAATACGTGGTGGCTTTTTTAAAATTTCCTAATTCATTCAAATCACTGGTTTGTTCTATGCTTGTTAATTTGGAAAGCTCATTGGTTATGTTGTGATCTGTTAGTTCACCGATTCCTAAAGTTAGTTCATTAGATGTATGTTCATGATTATTCATTTTATGATCTAGTTGTGTTGTCGCATTGTTTATACGTTTTGGAGGTTGTGGTAATAATTTAACAAGGGATGAAGTGCCATTTCTTTCATTTGTAACTGAAATGGCATCTTTGGTTTGATGTTCAATTCCTTTGGAGTTTTGTTGTTGTGTTTGTGCGCAGTTCGTATTCAAATTTATTGTTTGAAAACAATTATTTTGTGAACAAGTTTGATTCATCAACTGACTACTAGAAACTGTCGTTTCAAAAGCCATAGCTTCTAATGGACTATTAACTGCGCTGACTGAACGTGGCAAACCTGTTATACCAAATATTTGATCTTGAATACTAAGATTACTGCCTCCTTTCATTGACCAAGAATGTTTTAATGTTTTGAATTTATCTTGTAACTCAGATACCTGACAAAATAACAAAGTTAACATTGAAAATTGTGACAACTGATGAATAGAATGTATCAAACAAATGTTCTATTTTCTGAGTGACGTAACTAGTACAAAGTGTACTGTTTAACACAAGTAAACAATTTACTTGTTACAAAACTGGCAAGTCAAAGGTTATTATTAATGAATAATCATGGGTTGCTAGATGAGACCTTCTTATCAATGAGGCATGTATAAATATATGCGATAAGAGTCCTCCCATATTCAAATTAAAATTACTGAGTACTAAAACTGATAAAAAGCAAATCATTCATGTCGATCTACAGAATATTCATAGGGCATAAATTTAAAAACTAGTCAAACCATTTCCTGATACATCTGTGGGAATGATAGATGAACATTAGTAATTCATCTCAGAATTGGTTTCGATTGTAAGATTACCTGGAAGTCTCCAACTACTATAAATTTACCTCTGTATTCGCACACACATATAAATTAGCCTCTCTGTTACAATTCACTCGATGTGCTTGTGACGTCGTTATCTGTGCTATCTGCTAATAAACTGTAGTAGTCACTTCTTATAGCCTTCTGATTTCAAACACCGTTCGGATTTATATAATAATGGTTATTAAGACGATTGATTAATGAAGCTAAGCCACCACAATTTTACAAACCTGGATTTTATAGTGTGGTTGGGTAAATTAAAGAATAAATTAAAGAATTATTTATTAATACATAAGGGTATTAGAAGATCAATATCACATATCCAAATGGAAGAGTTTATTAAGTTTAATTACATCCTTGTCATACTGTACGAATGTATGATCACAACAAATTTTAATTAAAATCCTACATGTAGTTAATTCGAACCCATTTTGTAATTATTCGTTTTAAATATTACAGTTGTAAGCAGTTGACGATAATCAAGCTGAATAAAATGAATTCATGTTATTCTGCTGAAATCTTTGTTCTTTTTTCTCTCTTCAATATGATAAAGGGAACTATGGGTGTGAAACCAGTTTTAATATAAGAATTTGACTTGAAATAGGAAGAATCTACACAGAATCTCGATAAGTTTATAAATCATATAACAACTCTTGAATCGTTTAAATACAATTCTTTCTTTTAATATTATACTTTTATCACTAAAGTTCTTTAAATGGTTTATTCTCTTTGAAAGTAATAATGAATTCAAATAGTAAATTATATTACAGATAACTTAATACATGCTAATAATGTTTTTTATTCATACAGTTCAGATCTCGAGTAGCACTACTGTGATGTGGGTTACCTATATCCATACATGTAGTATATAACGGTGATCAGGCATAGAATGTAATTCAGTAGAAGGTCGATGAGAAAAAAACGGGAACAGAACGTAATCGGTATGAAAACGCATGAACAATAAAATCTAAGCCAATGGATTGATGTTTGTAACAGGAACAATGAAGTTTGAGATGATGGATTAATATTCTGCAAATTAACGATTTACTATATAATTCTCAGATTTTAGTGAGATACCCTGTAATTTTGTGCTCAAATACATTCGATTTGTCTCCACTAGTGTTCTTGTTCACTACACTACATTTATGAAGAGTTTTAGAAAAAAAATGTTCAAAAGAGAATGTAATAAATAATAACAAAAAATCAATAAATTTTCAAAGGCCTATTACTTTTTCAATGATTTTGAATTCTTACCTCTTTTCTGTTGGCTAATTGTAGAAATCCATCATCTTCTAAATTAGTTGTCTCTTTAGAAGCAATATGGAAATTATTTGAATTTAATATTTTACAATTTTCATTAAATGAAGATGGAATATTTGGTTTATTTGTTAAGTATGTTGAATATGGTGTATTAAATTGAGGTTTTATTGTATTCATTTCATCTATGGTTCCTGTTAAAGCTGAAATTGATCGAGGCATTCGAAATGGATTAGAATTGCTTAAAGGTTTATAATTTATTTCATTATTTGGATTGAGTGAATGATTCCATCCAGAAAATGATAATGAAGTAAGGACATTTTGATCGGTTATTGATTTATTACCAGACTGTACACTGAATGATGCTGAATTAGGTAATAATCGACGATCTGAAATAAACTACAAAATAAAAAGATACATATACACTAGTATAGTAATAAAAATTCATACAATTTTATGTCATTCAAAACGATTCCATGCAAAAATTAGTCGTTTCTTAATGTTTTTGATTGAGATTATGAACCGATTGATGTTAGACCACCTTTGGAAACCTGGAAGCACTGGACGGCCGTTTCGTCCTATTGTGGGACTCCGCAGCAGTGCACATCCACGATCCGCTCGCGGGACTCGAACCCAGGGCCTTCATTCTTGCGCGCGAACGCTTAACCTACTGGACTACTGGGCCGTTTTCTGTGTTTTATGTTCAATAAATGAGCAAACTGTAAAACTTGATGAAACAGATCACGACGGACTTATTTGTTTAAAATATTCTACATTTCTGACAAATTTATTTGCGCTCCATTTTCCTTGTTTGAAACATTCTAGATAGTCCTGAGTAATCAGGCTTCCCATCTGTCTGCCGTTTTACAAAGTTTCATCAATCAAAAATGGCTTGCTTAAGAGTATGCACAAACTATTCCTTCCAAATTGATTTCATCACCAATTATATGGACATTTAATCAATAGTGAGAAAACACAAAAGACTACAAACATTCGATGTTTTAATCAACACACAATGCTGATGATCGTTCAGGACTTGCCACAGCTTTTCAGTTTTAATGGCTCTCACTGAGGTGATTGACTAACCTCGAGAAGAGCTATTTTCTTCATCATGTTATTCACAATAAATAGACCTAAATATTTCATAGATTTCCTGAGTTTATACTTTTTCATCAAGTATTAGATCTCAGGTCACTAACCTTGTAGATTATATTTTAAGATTTGTATTTCATTTTAAATTTAATTCTGCTCTTCAAGGAGTTAAGAGTAACTACTAATGTTATACACTAACTATAATAAAGTTAATATAACAAGTTTTGCTTTTCCTGTACAATGAACATACTATTCAATCAACTGTATGAAACAAAATTACATTTCTTTGATTTATGGGCGAGAACGATAATGACTAGTTGTTTGCTTAGACAGACATATATATAGTCTGACAAGTGTGTCAGATGAGTTATATATTCCCCTATCCTTATTACTATTATTATTGATTGTTCATTGTTGTTGAATGGTGTTGGGTTATTGGTGTGGAAATATATTTAAGGTTCTAGTTAGGCTAATCACGTGTTCGTGATCTGAATTATGTTGACGTCTTGTAGAATAGACACTGGAAGGGAATCTAGTGTATATATTCATCTAAGGTAAATTAACATCTCATACGTGTAATCATTGGAAGACCAATCGTTATAACATTCTCTTTTGTGAAATAAAATCATTGTTTATTTGAAGTAAACATTTATAGAATACTTACTTTATCATTTACAGTAGAAAATAATCTACTTTGATCCATTGATATATTTACATTATTATTATTAATATTGTTTGTATTTGTTGATTGATTAATAATTGGACTATTATGTTCCATTTTATTAGATGTTAATAATTCTAAACGTTCTAAACGATCAGACATTTGATTTAACCATGTACGTAAATCCCAATTTTGACGGACAAGTTGCTTAATGCAATGCTTGATTTGATAATAATAATAATAAAGATTTATTTTATTAGTTAAGTCAATGAAAAATAAGTCTATTCTTTCGTTCGAAAACATATTTACTTGTTATCTTAAAATGACACATAGATATCGTATAAGGATAAAATTAAATCAAATATTTGCAATAGTTGAGATCATGAGTCGGTTGAAGCTAGACCACTATAGAAAATCTGGAAGGATTAGACCGCCCATTCGTTCTCGTGCGGGACCCCTCAGCAATGCTCATCCAGGACCCCGCCTCGCGAGGTTCGAACTCAGGACCGACCAGTCTTGCGCGTGAGTGCTTAATCACTAGACCACTGAGACGGCTGGCATCCAACAATGTTAATATCTAACTTCAATCAATCCACGAAATTGAGCGACACATCCACCATTGTCATCAGTGAGTTACTACCTCACAACAGACCGGGTTGAACTTCACCGAATACTGCTTCTCACTAGAACTTCAGGATATACCTCTTGAAGACAGTCACTAGTGAGCATATGCTCTGTGTTCTGTTCTACTACTATCTCCACAAAACCCCTTTTGATACTAAACAAATATTTGCATTTGAAAGCCAATGTGATTAAGACGATAACCTCTGGGGAATGTTAAAATGATCATGCAGTGACTATCTACTTAATAGGGTTGTATATTCGTGTGAAAAAAACTAGGATTAAGATTTATAGTTGAACGTTAGGATTAGGAATTAGAGTGAGACTATAATTTATGAATGACCTTTGGGTGACGCCGAAGTGACCATGAGAGTGTCACCTAATAACTAGGACCAAGTGAGGGTTATTAACCTGTATGAGGAATTTGAATTATGATTTACAAATGATGGTTAGGGTTAGGAATCAGATTTAAGGTTTTCATCACGAACTGAAATCAGCTATAATGCCAAAACTCTATTTAGCCAAATGGATGGGTGAATTTCTCACTAAAATCCGAGACCTGTTATCTTATTCCCGATTGGTTCGTTCATAATTTATAGTCTCGCTGGAATTAGATTTAATGTTTTCATCATGAATGGACATCGGCTGTAATGTCAAAATGGTATTCAGTCCGATGAGTGAATGAATTTCGCCCTGAAATCTGATTGGTTTGTCCATAAGTTATAGTCTCGCTGATTGAATTCAAAGTGAAAGCTTTACTTTTCTAGCATAAGATCAGAATTCAATGCTGTTTTAACTGTGAGCCTTGTGCCCTATTAATATATAACGTAATGATACCGCCGATTAGAGGACAGTGATTTATCGACCGCACCAATGACGCGTATCCTGTACGAGTACTCTAGGGTCATTATTAGTCCTTCTTCTTGCCTAGCCCTGTCTGTCGAGTCCAGAACACCAATATATTTCAAACATACTGGCTTCATATACAAACCAAACAGATCACATCGCACCACAAAATAGGAAACAACATTTGCACAAGATCTAGCGAAAAGTGACTGTGAATGTAGGAGACTGTAATTAATAGACTGTGCATTACTCAAGAACGGCAAATCTTATAATAATAGCCTATAGGTCAAAATAAAGTTTATAATAAGAGGAACATGAATATGCATAGTTTAGTCACTTAATAATTATGCAATAAAAATATATGTATAGTATTTATCCATAAATGGATCCCAACAGTTAGCATTCATTATTCTCGTCGGGATATATCAAATGGTCCATATCTGTAACCTAAAATAATTCACAGTATAGCACAACTGTGAAACAAAACAAAACATAATGTAAATATGACATAAACTCTAGTCGGTAAGATCAATTTTCAAATGGGAATTTTTCTCACATTTCACTATTTAAAACTATAACTAGTACAATTCACACGATTGTACGTAATCAAACAGTCAGATGACATAGGCTAATAGTCCAATGAAATATTTTTAGTCACATCTTTTTCTCCAAAATTTAGCACCCAAATATATGGATAATAAGCGTTACAACGTCCGTTTCATTTTCTTGAAAATCTCTACCACCAATCAATCAAATGAATAGTAAGAGAGAATATTGTGGAACTGAGACTTTAATAATTAGTTTTCAAACGCTTAAATAGTTATATAATAGTTTTTTTTTAATGTGTAAGATATATTGAAGTGTGGGTGAGAATGATAATGATTGTTTGTTCCTTAGTCAGACTTGTAGTTAGTCTGACAGGCGTTAGATGAGTTATATATTATCCTATCCTTTTTATTGTTGTTGGATTGTTGTCAGTTTTTGGTGTAGAAATATATTTACGTTCTAGTGAGACTAATCACGTGTTCTTGGTCTGATTTGTGTTGAAGTCCTGTAGAATAGACAATGGAAGGGAATCTAGTGTAGATAATCGTCTAAAGTAGATCAGCGTCTAACTAACTGACATGAAATCACAATTAATATTTGTTAGTTTATTTTGATACCACTGCCTTAAAAATCTGTTTTTAATTATTCAATTTTAGATTACTTAAGGTGACAAATTCACGTAACTAGATTCATATTAAAGGTGTTGTAATTGATTTTATAATATTCTGTATTTGTTTAGCATATATTAAAAGTGTTTTCCTACACTTGTTACACCCAAGTTTTCAATATAGAAGAAAACAAACCAACAATTATTGTTACAGGGATTCTGTGATGATTACTGAATTGTCATTGCTTAAATCACGGACTGTGATTTCAGTTAGACAACTAACAAAGTTAAAATCATTTAATAGTCGTTTGCTCTTAGTATGGGACTCTTCAATAATGAGAACCTATGATCCTATGGTGGGTCGAAATTCAAATCATCGAGTCGTCAGTTCATGGTATCAGCCAGCCATATTCCAGTGTCACTGGTAGGTATCTCTCTCACATCCGACATAGTGGAACTTTACTGGTATTATATTCTCGCTTCATTTACAGGAAATACGTTTGAAGACTAAGTGCTCTCAGTGAGACCTGAAGGTTCTGGTTCGATCCTTGATAGGATCATGAGTATGTACTTCTGGGCAGTCCCATATTAGAATGAACTAGTTGTTCGGTACTCCCTATTTCTCAGTGGTTTTCTAATTTGGGTCAGTCCTTGATGTGAACCATAACAAAATCAAAGCTTTTTTCTAAGACTTTTGTCATGGTAGTTAAATATATCAGATGATATGTTTGCATAACCTAATTGACTTGAATGTGCGTTGCGAACTCATTTGTTTACTTTATTATGATTATTTATTTTTCAGAGGTCTTGTTAGCAATTCTAATGAATTAAATCAATAAACATAGCTCAAATAAGGTTAAAAAGAATAATATGATCAAAGTAGATAAGGTTTTTATGAGTTATTAAGTGCTTAAATATCGGAAGCTAAACGGTTTTACTTGATGTAAGCTGGTATCCACAGAGGAATTAGGAAGTATTGGTTTATTTGATTGATATTGACAAAGGCTGTTAATATTTGTCATTTCAGAGAATACTGTACCAATTGATTTTTGGTCAGTGGATAATGTTTCTGGCAAGGCACTGTCAGTTAATAGAGTGTTCGATAAATTATTTGGACTTTGTAAAGAACCTGTAAATTGAAGAAAGGAAACAACAATTTAAAAAAGTAGTGATTTTTTAAATCAGATAATATTTTAGAAATCAAACTAATGAGTGAAATCAATGTTTTAACTGTAAATGTTCATAACCAAGAGCTATCTCTAGGATTCCTTTTTTACCGATTGTTGACAAGTATATTTTACAATCCAGGAGTTCGTAAACGCTGATTATTACTTTGTTTGCACATTAATAATATATTTTCGGGTGATTTATGAAGATCTCGGTGAAGCTCATTCACATGAAAAGTGAGTCATCACCTATGAGATTGATTGATCATCTCACCATGTCTTTAATCAAATCAAGTTAATGATATGTATCATCCTTATCTCTACTTGAGTTTAAATATGATTAAATTTCCCAAGCACTTTAATCAACTTATTCGGCAGACAGTACTGTATTTATCAGTAATAACTTGCCTATTTTGCCCATTTATTTCCATACATGTTTTAACATATGTGGTTGATTGTGTGTTACGGCACTCAAAAACACTCCTATTACTACCTTAAGGATAGTTCAAGGACTTATAACTAATCATGAAACTTGCATATTTTCGGTTCAATCTGTAAAGACGTCGTGTTGTTAGACTTATGAGGAGTCCTAATATAGATTGAATAGTTGTCTAGTTTTCCCCGGGTTTAAACGGTAACTCTATAACGAATTTCACTCACAAACTAAAGCAGCTTCATCAAAACCCTCCAACCAAGCATACTTTGATTTGCCAATAAAGTATAATCTACGCTTGAGATATAATTGGTTTACTCAAGTGAGACGATAAAGTCTCAATATCATTGGTACAGCAAAGTACTAATAGATAGGCTAAAAGAAACTAAATGACAAACGAAAGTCACATAATACGAACTATAAAAGTTTCATTTAAAGTTCTCGAAATACATCCTATGTCTCATGTAGAATACAAATGTACAATACAAATCCAAAACGGTATAATGAAGTGACATATTTAAATTTAGCATTATTATCTTCCAGCTAACTAACTAACTGTTTCTTTACCTCATTTAACTAAACCGTATATTAATCAGAAGTCTTCGCCACAGATACTGCTGGGATATCAAGAGTGAAAGTTTAAGATTAGAAACAGTATTTATGAGTGATCTCCATGGTTGGATAATGATCTTCAGTATACCATAATGCACATTTTTAGATATCAGTACTGCATGTATTGTATTTTCATAGATTACTTAGAAAAAATGTCACACATAAAAGGCTGTCGAACATTGTTAATCCAGTCATGTCTAAATCAGAGCTCTCAGTGCTGAAACATTATCTACTTGCTCTTCAGTAGCTTGAATAGCCTCAAAATGGTACTATTTGCCCCGATGATTCCATTGAGTTACAATAATTTTTAAGTGGAGATGGATGGTGAATAGCAATGGAATCCAAGACGCGCTTTTAATTCTATTTAAGAACGAGTCTTGGGTTCGAGTTCCAGAGTGAATATCAACTCAGATACAGGAATGTTGAATTGGCGAGTCTCAAATAGGATATAACGCGAGTCCTGGATTCCACTGTTAGCCATCATCTATCTCCTCTTATAAACATAGATTCACTTTAAAATTTAATATACCTTGACTAACTAGTGCTTTAATGTAGAATTACCAAGTACTCAACACAAAAAGTACAACATAATCAGTGATGAAGAAAGAAATTTAAACACTCCAAAATACATTTAAAATTTTTCAATTTCAATTTACTTTCGTTGAGCAAATCTCTGGCAACATTTGTATCTAATGATCTACTTTGATGCATTCGCCTTCCTTGTTCTAACAATAATGACGATGAGGCAGTATTTCCGGTAAATAATGATAATAATTCTTTTGTGAATAAATCTGTTTTCTCATTTCTGTCCTCACCAGTTTGTAGCATCCATACCAAATCACGAGTTGTGATACTTGTCTTTAATTTAGTACTTTTATGTGAACTAGTAGGTCGTTTATTATGTTTATGATGTTCATGTCTATTACGAACTTGTATTTTATCTTTAGAACATACTGAACTAAGTGAACTAGCATGTGATATAGAATGATCTGATAATATACGGCTGTTAACAGATGAATTTGATGTTGCTGTTTGTCTAGAAGATTTTGAAGTTTCTGAATTCTCTCTTGAATGACTATGAACACATGGAGATGATTCAGTTTCTGAACCACTTGAAAATTTAGATATATGCTTTTTTCTGTATGATTTTTGTTGATGTATAGTTGACTTAGACTTATGACAAGATTTTTCTTGTTGGCTAGTTTTACTTTGTATACAATTATTTAAAGATTTACTTATATCATGATCAATATCGATCAGTTCAATAGATTCACTAATCAGTTCTACTGGTTCTATATCAACCAACGTATTATCAGTTTTGTTTAAATCATCTAAAAGATCTTTTGTTTTATGATATTTATGTGATTTCTTAATTTCATCTTCTTTGTTTACTTTTTCAATATCATCCCCATTATCATCACCATCATCGTTTGTAGTAGAATCATGAGTATTTTTCTTATCTCTATGTTTTTCTGATTTACGTGTTTGTGATGTAGAATTACGATCACTTTTCAAATTAATCGATTTTTCTTGTTTACCTGTTTTATGTTGTTTAAGTTTATGTTTTGATTTTGTTTTATGTTTATTTACATCACCATTATGTTTTGTTGATTTATTTGAATCATCTAATTTATTACTATCAATATTGTTCATAGTAGTATGAGTTATTTTTTTATCAGATTTTTCTATTTTCTCTTGATCAGATTCACCATTTTCATCAATATTATTATCATTATTATTGCTTTCGGTTGTTTCTAGTTGTTGGCCTTGTTTTTGTAGAGCAATTCGATGACATACATCAAATGCTTGACCAACTGTTCTGACTATTCGCATAGCTTGTAACTAATGGGAATGAAATATATATATATATATACTCAAGAGATAGTTCAAATTGAAAGAGTCCATGTTTACTAATAAAGACAAACATACATTTGTACAAATATTCGTCAAGATTAAAACAAAAATTGGGCGTCGAGTATAGAGAAGTCATTATATGCGAAAATTATATTTGAAATAATCTTAGAGATTGGAATTTAAATAATCTTAACGTTTCGTCTAGCAAACGTTTCTGAACATACATTATTATAAATTAACCAAAATAGAGAATATAGACCGTTATCTTTTGACTGAATTGTTCTAGTGTGTTGATTTAATTGTGAAACGAGTTCAGGTTGATGAATACGCATTACCAACGTGTTTCAAAGTAAGTTGAAGCAACAGTTTAATACTGCACAATTTTTATAAACTCTTTAATGAATGTCAGTCTTTGATGTATATAACCTTCAAAATATTTAGATGTATGTATTATCCTTAAATATTCATTATTTCTGTCGATTCATTTCAGCCACCATATATACAGTGTTCATGAGCATTGAGAATCAGAATTTATATTCCTCTACTTTCCTGTTGTTTTTTACATCTTAATATACTTGTGTAGGTGTTCTATTTCTCTCTTTGTTATATTATTTGGTGCTTTTATTGGATTGATTGGCCTATAAAGTTATCTAGTTCCTTAACTAAACACTCAAAAGTTAATTTCATTATCCGGTATACACTTTCCATTTCAAAAATATATTGGATTTCTGTTTGTTAGTCAAATCTTTCATCATTCATGATATAATCTATTAGTAATGTACATTATCTCTTATCAGTGTTTAAAATCATTCTTATGAATGTGTATTAACAAAAAGATGTCAAAAATCTATCCATATATCAGTTACTGTTGTTAACGTGGGAACCCATCAAGGTTTTTCAATTCAGTTTCTACAGTTAAATGAAGTCAGCCAAAAAGCCTATGAAAACACCAGGAAATAAATCATAGTCGATTTATTTTAGTTTAGAAATCTTTATTAGATTTGAATTTATGACAATTCACTGGAGGCGAAATCATAGCCTCCCGATCTCATAATAATCATAATAGCATAGGATTATTTACTTTATTTTTCTTAACATTTATCTATTACAGATTTAAATCATGAGTCGATTGAAGCTAGACCACTATGGAAAACCTGAAAGCACTGGATGGCCGTTTCGTCCTAATATAGGACTTCTCAGCAGTACGCATCCACGATCCCGCACCCCACGAGATTCGAACCCAGGATCTATCAGTCTCGCGTCAGGCTCTTAACCAACTAGACCACTGAGCCGGCATCCAACGGTGTTAATATCTAACTTCAACCAATTCACCATTGTCTTCAATGAGTTGATATTTCACAACAGACCTGGTCGAAGTCCACTGGTAATGGTTTCTCAATAAAACTCCAGGAGTATCTCATGAAGTCAGTCACTAGTGAACAGGTTTTCCATGGTGGTATAGCTTCAACTGACTCATGATTTCAATCTGTGAAATTTCTAAAATCTTCACAAACCCCTACTGATATTTATCTATTAACAATATTGTTTGATCATTGTTTATTTCTGCTATCGGATGATATCTGACTTACTTATTTAAAATAAAAATATGAGATATCTGAATAAAATTCCCTATTTTTAACCATAAAAGTCATACGATCTTTGTTCCAATTTATAAAATTGTTACATAAAGTTGTTTTAATCAATAGGATACTTAGATTCATAAAGTCAACGTTTTATCACTTTGTAACTATAATTGATTTTCTGAATTTTCTGAGGAGAAAAATGTAAAATTCTTATTGACTATGAGAAAATTTAAGATCAGTATGATCAATGTTATTTTGTAGACAATAAGACAGAAAGTTATTCAAATTCATTTGGTATTGTTTACTTGAATCTTCTCGTTGATGTTTAGGACTTTAATCGATCAGTCTCTTATTGTGTGCAGACTGCCTCGATATTGCCTTATTTCATAAGCATTACAAGCAAAGATAGGTAGTGGCTAAAATTAGTTAACCGCTAAAAACTATAAACTACTGAGTAGTTGCATCTTTCTAGTGTAACTCATCTGAGTTCGATTTTTGATGAAGTCAGCGTATACACATGTCTGAATGCCACACTAGGACATAACAGATTTTCTAGTGCTTCCCAGTTTTCGACGAGCTTTAATTATTACGTGATGTGACTCATCTACAAATAGAATGATTGTTGTAAACTTCTCATTTTAAAAATAATACAATTATCAGTAAGGGGATTTGTGGAGATTGTAATATTTCTAACAGTTGAGGTTAAGCGTTCACGCACAAGACCGAAGGTCTTGGCTTTCAGTCCCGTGTGCTCGATCGTGAGTGTACACTGTTGAAGAGTCTCATACTAAGACGAACGGTCATCCAGTGCTACCAGGTTTTTAATGATAATCTGGCACAGATCGGCTCGTGAATTCAACTGTTAATAATAACATTGTTTATTTACTAGAAAAAAATATTTAGCTTGACTTACTTTTTTGTAAGCTTTAAATACATTGCATCTAAAAACGCTTGTCCTACTGTCTCTCGCTATATACTGAATATCTTCAAATCTTGTGAGTCGTGTGATACATAGAAAATTCTATAGTAAAATAAAATGAATTTTGTAAAATTTTAGTAAACATTCAATAATTCTGTAAGTAACAAATTGTATTAAGTAGTAACGTCTGCTTATAGAATCATTTATAAGCTAAATCGTTCTGGTAAAATCTTTAATGAGCAGAAAAGTCAACTTATAATTGGATAATTACAAATTCATTAAAGCATCCCCATAATCAATAATAGATGATTCAATAACATTTTGTCTCGAGTATGAAACTGTGGTCAACAACACTTTTTGAAGTAACGATGACATTCAAATATTTAGCCTGAAGTAAGCATTACAAATTATTAACGCTTTTCAGGACCTCGATTTTAAATTCAATGTTTTGAAAAGGCTGCTTCAAACTCAGCAACCAAGTTGTCTTAAGTTTATTTTTAAAATTCATAAGAACTACTCATAAGTAGACTTCACTCTAAAAATATATTAAAAGGATATTTATTCTTACCTGTATATCGGGTGATATAGCAAAAGATTTGATTGATGTATACAATCAAGCATAGATGTATCTCTTAATCCTAAGCCAAGTAAACCACTACCAGTAGCTGAAATTGCATCATAATCTCCAGTTACACCATTTGAATCTTTAACTGATGTTGTGTCAGTGGTTAAAATTTCACTGAATACTCGATTACCGGGATTTTGTGAAGATGAAATAAATGTTCGTGATACTGGCCAACGAATTCCAAACTGGATAACCAAAAAAGGATATAGCTACAAAGTTAGTAGTGTTTATAAAGCATAATTATTTTTAGGCTGAATATTATCGAGCTGAATATCAGAGTTAGAAGAGAAACTATAGGGAGATATTTCTCACCTTTTTAGACTATCAGATAAACCAACATGGCTTTTCGCTTATTAAAAATCCATAAGACCTTTCATTTTAAAAGTCTAATATCAATGGTATTCATCGTTAAACTAATTATGCATTAAATTACAACTATTAGTCGCGGAACATCAGATTTAATGTAAGGGTTCCGTAGCCCCATATTATATTTCCACGATCGTGTTCGCATTTATTTTAAACTTATACGTAAACTTCAATGGATCATATCATAGGTTGAACCAAAAGTCTGTTTGTTATATGAATAATCGAGGTAATGTATAGATAAGAGCATGAATACATATTTTTCAAGGTTATCCACCCAAACCTATGGTAAAATAAAATATTAAACTGTGTAAAGTTTTGTAGTGTCAGTTGCTATGTTAAGCCCATATACCTTATTCTAGCTTCTGAACGGCTAATTTATTCATTCTTCCTGAATCACCTTTTGAGCTTGTTAGTTGTTCGCTTACCAATCATGACTGTTTTTATATGAGCGCGTATGTGTGTACACTTCTTATTCTGTTCACCACATGTCTGTAATTTATTTTTATCTGGCTATAAATAGTGATTAACGCTTGTCTAGATGGAGTTGGCTCACACACCATCTCCACCGCGTGTCATCTCACTTCACTCTCTTTGCTTCCTTTGCTTTGTCCCTCTGATTTCCTGTCCAGATCAATGAGTGTACAAATATATGCATTCAAAATCCCATTCTCGTATTCGACTTATTCAGTTCTATTATTCACCAACGCGATTTTAGTCGATGAAATATACGAGGATTGACGATATACATATATATTTCGATAGCAATCATTCAATAGCGATCAACGTATAATCCAATTGGAGTCAGATTTCAGGCCACTAAATTTTCACTAATGCATAAGCATTTTACAGAAATGTTTTCATTCAGTTTATGAAAACGATGACTATGACGTAAACTGTGGCCTGATTCCTTAGTTCAATATTATTAATATTAAATAATTCCTCTAGCGTCAGTGCTTAATTTTAAAAAAAATTTCACATATTCTACTACTTGTACAAAACAAATTACTGGCTATTGTCGACATATATAAATATCCTAATTTATTTATACTGTGATTATAAATTGTCTTGGGGTGGATAATTTTCAAATATATTTACAAATCGACACAATATCATTCTTCAATGGTTTGCTTATGTCACAAGACTAATACCTACTTTATGGTAATATCCTTTTTGAAGTCTGTTGTTTTACAATCGATGATCAACATTAGTTTTTTTTTAAAGCTTATTGCTATTATAAATTGGATTGATTCAACCATACAGTGCATTTTCAACCTTCATTATTCTTTACATATTATCAATTTCATGCCTAAATCTTTATATATTTCAAACCATCAACAATTCGAAAAAAGAACATTTACCCTTGTCTAATTATTGAAACTTAATCTACCTTACTAAATCAGTCATTGTAAAAACCTAAACAAACAAATAGACTACACTATACTATCAAAACAAATCAACATTTTCATATCATATGATTTACTCATCTTTTTGTATTCTGACATCTTCCATTTGGCTAAATAGTTTTTTTTATTTATGGAAAATGATTTGAAATGGACATAACTATCAAACTTTTCACTAAAATGGTTTTTTGCTTTGTTTTACATCAACGAAAAATACCTCAGAATGATGTAGTCACAATGATATTATTTAAACGAATAGATCATTTAGTAACAAAGGATGGTGTTTTGTTTTAGAAATAACTAATATCATTATATCATTAGAAATAATGGATTCTTACTACAAATTATTAGCAATAATGAATTTATCTGCTTTTAATCAAGTTCTCGATTTTATAAAGTTACGAATCAGTAAATAATATAATAATGTTAGGTAGTTGGATGTAAGGCGAGGATTGGCAAAGCAAGGGCCGTATTCCTACAATTGAAGAACATATAGAACTGAAAACAACTGTCTGTCAACCAATATCAAAGTCAAAATCTTCAATACCAACGTCAAGGCAGTTCTGCTATATGGAGCTGAAACTTGGAGAACTACAACAACCACAATCAAGAAAGTACAAGTATTTATAAATAGCTGTCTACACAAGATACTCAACATCCATTAGCCGGATACCATCAGCAACAGCCTTCTCTAGGAAAGAACAAACCAGCTTCCAGCTGAAGAAGAAATTAGGAAAAAACGATGGAAATGGATAGAACATACACTACGCAAATCGTCAAACTGCATCACGAGGCAAGCCCATACTGGGAGTGCTGGAAGGCCAAATAACACATTACGTCTGGGAATAGAAGCATATATGAAAAAGATGAATAACAACTGGAAGGAGCTAGGAAGGTTTGCACAGGAAAGGGTTGGATGGCGAATGCTGGTGAGCGGCCTATGCTCCTTTACGAGGAGTAACAAGCGTAAGTAAGTAAGTAAGTTGCATGTAGCCAACAGGAGCCCAAGGGTTTAGATTTTATGCTGTTCAACACAAACCAATAAAGCGTACATTTAATCTTGCTGGGACTGATAATTTAGTCCTACGTCGCTAATGTATATAATCTGAAACGTTACTACTGAGTTATTCTAGCTACAACCGACTTCTTGTAACACTGAGAGATATTCACAACTGGTTAATCATTGAATAGTGACTAATTTTATGTTTATCTAGTTCTTTATAGTTCACCAAGTTATTGTTTCTCTGAGTAAATTGTAAAGATTATTTTCTTAATGAATTCATATTAATTAAGAGATCATGGAAAATTAAGAAATACTGGATAGTGGTTTTAACCTAGTACAGAATACATTAACAATGTATACCAAAGCCTTCACAAAATCAACAACTAGTACTCAATGCTCGCTGATATTTAATAGTTTCCTAGTTCATATTAGTTTATAATAAATCATAAATAATTTATTTATAATAAACAGTGTAATGCCTATGTGTTGAAAGTTTCGATTGAATCAGTTTATGTCCAAAGTATTGAAAACACTAAGAAAAATGTTAGTGTCTATTTTAATTTAACATACTTATATACATTAAAAGACTAGTGAGATTCTAAAAAAGAAAGTTCATATCAGTTCATTTTAATTATGTGTAAATGTGTTGATTGTAGCTTATGGCAAATGTTATAAAATGGCAAGTTGTAACTATGAAAAACACATAGTGAGAATGTTATAACGATTAAAAAACAGTAATAATAATAATAATAACATATGGTGTTGAACTGGGAATAAAGTAAGGAAGAGGGGAAAGCTTTAATAAAAGAATTACACATAGGGTATTATTTATTTATGAATCTAAAACAATCATTTAATTTGAGTTAGATATTTTTATCAAAGGTAGAGATAAATAATATTGTCAATGTGTCCATTTCTTCTATAGTGTACAGAACATATAGTCAAGAACTGTTTTATAAATTATTTGAATTCGATTTAAAAGTTAAATTGTTTTTATTTGTTTTCCTGATATATCTGCAGTCAGTTAGGAATGAAAGTCTATGGTGACTTAAAGTATTTAATCACTATTTTATTTTACTTATGCTGATGCAAGCTCACCAACACCCTAAGATTATACCTCATAAATATGATCTCAGTCATTTGAATTATGGGGGTAGTTAGATTGATGCACACAATGAAGACAATGATGGATGGCCGAGCAATGTCGTGGGTTCGTTGAAGTTAGACATTAATACCGTCCCACATTAGACCGAAACGGTTGTCCAGTGATTCAGATTTCCCATGGTGTTTAGCTTAAATCGACTCATGAATCCGACTATCAAATTGATACATATAAATTGATCTACTTATCAATAAAAAATAGTCTTTACTTTTTGTTGATACTAGTTTGGTCTGTGAATCAAATGTATAAACTGAGTGAACTGCTCATCAATTCAGATCTATTCAGTTTTTGACATAAATTTTTGTTAATCATGATGTTTTTACCTTCTTACCAGTGTATGGAAGTGTACGTGATGTGCTTTCTGTAATTCTGTCAAATTTAGTTACAAACTATTTTTATAGTATTTATAGGTAATTCTGTGACTGGGACATTGAAAAAGAACTTAGTTATTTTCAACACACTTAAGTCTGATGAAATAACCGTATAATTCAAGGGATGTATTCTTTATAAATCTACTTCTTCTTTAAGATCCATCTAGTCTTTTTTTACAAGAGGTTACGAATGAATGATTTACTATTAGCTTATTCTTTTTTCAATGGTGAATAATCAAGACTTTCAAAAATTCCTGTTCACGAATATTTTTGTTTTACTCACTCAACACATGTCTGAATAACAGCAAAATTATACGATGTCTCCTAGAATAAATCCTTTTCGAATCTGGCTTTATAGAATATCTGCTGTTAGTAAATTTTTATTTCATAATATAATATTCTTTTTTACAAAAGTAAAATAGATATTTTGGTGCTTGTTTAATCAGTTGTTTCTTTATTTATCCCAGTGTATCAATTCACTTGGTGTTGTTTACTTAGATCTTCCCATTGATATTTAAGACTTGAATTGACCAATCTCTTATTGGCATATGTAGATACTCTGTGGATTGCCTCGATATTGACTTGATTCACAGGCATTATAGACAAAGATATATAGTGGCTAGCAGTGGAATCCAGGATGCGCGTTTCATCCTCTTTGGGACTCGTCAGTTGGATGTGCCTGCACCTCAGGTTGATGTTCATTCCAGGATTCGAACACAGTATCGTTCAGTTCAAACGCCATCACGTTATCCACTTAGCTACTGAATCCTGGTAACCACTTACTTGTACAGTAAGGTGAAGTCTACGACCCTTGGTTCGAGCCCGAGAGTGAATATCAACTCTGAGATGCAGGCACGTCCAGCTGACGAGTCTCAAGTAGGCG